TGTATCTTGTAAATGTTGATCGGCCCGATCCCAATCCTTAATGCAAACCAAGGCTTCAATCAACATTGAGTGACTGGTCTTTTAAAATAGAGATCATCAAATAGCGATGAAGTTATTAAACCAAACCAATCATTGAGTGACTTTTGATAAATTATCAATTTACTTTGGTATGCAAGTAGAAAGTTACTTTGATATAGAGTCACAAAGAGAGTGAAGAAAGTTGAAGAAAAAAGAGGATAATTAAGAGGATGAGGAGAGATTGTGAACAGAAAAATAGATAAAGATAGAAAGAAGAGTGATATAGAATAGAAAAACACAAGTATCTATAAGAACAAAACCGGCATTATATAGAAACAACACTTTTTTAAAAAAAATAATAATAAAAACGTGATGGCAATGTGTTTCTTTCCTTGTGTATATTGTTTTTTGAGGAATCATTTTATCATGTGATTGATTATAAAAAAGGGTCAAGAATGTGAAAACTGAAATATTAAACTGCTAAAATAGGAATTTGCTCTTTCTATTAAGGAATTATGTGTTTACCTTAATTAAAAAGTAAAAAATTTAAATAACAAATATGGGCATTGGGTCTAGTGGTATGATTCTTGCTTTGGGTGTGAGAGGTCCCGAGTTCAATTCTCGGAATGCCCTAATTTGTAGCAACTAAAATTTTCGGGCGGTTTTGGGAAAATCGGGCAACTCGGGCTTCGGGCAAAATTTGGGTTTTCGGGCTTATTTGGAATGCCCTAATTTGTAGCAACTAAAATTTTCGGGCGGTTTTGGGAAAATCGGGCAACTCGGGCTTCAGGCAAAATTTGGGTTTTCGGGCTTATTTTCGGGTCGGGCAATTCCGGCGGACGGCGGTATAGGACGGTTAGACGGCGGCGGGCAAGAGAGTTAGTGTCAAATTCGGGCTGCCCGAACCCGAACCCGAAAATCTAGCTTGGGCGGGCGGGAGATGGGCTTGCCCGAAAAAATTCGGGTTTCGGGCAGCCCGCTAACCCGAACTTTCAACACTGGTCGACCGTTTGATATTTAAAAAAAAGAAAAACCCTCGCATCCTACAACGGTCTTATTTTCGTTTGCTCTCTGGGAAGAAGCATTCTTCTTCTTCTTCTTCTTCTCAATCTATCTTCTTCTTAATCTACTGCGATTCTTGGAAAAATACACTGTGATTTCAGAATGGGAACGGATCGAGGGTCAAAAGCTTCCTCGGATCGTCAAAATTGGAACAGAATTTTTAACGGTCTGGTGAAGATGTTGCAGACCCAACAAGTGCAGCTCGAGACGCTCGCCAAAGAACGGAAACTCCTCAAAGATCGCATCCGAATGCAACACGACCGATGGGTCTCCGATGTTCGCCTCTTCGAAGAGCAAGTCGCTCAGGTAAATTTCATCAATTTCCCTTTTTGGAATCGAAATTTAGGGTTTTGGGAATCGTACCGTTTTAGGGTTTTCTGAAAATTGACGGCTTTTTTGGTCGTAATTTGTCATGCAGGTGAAGGGGGATTTGGTAGTTCAAGATATGGCAGCCTCGCTTGAGGCCGCCAAGTCGGAATTGGTCATGGGTTTGAAGCAAAAAGATGCGTATCTTAACAAATTGAGACTAGGTTGGTCTTCTACCTTCATTGATGCGTTTTCAATCTGAAAGGATTTTTCTTGACTTTTTGTTTAAATTGACATCTTATTGTTTAGTTTCCACGAATTTCATCTTTAAAAGGAAAGAGCATGAAGAAAACTCAGGGTTGAATTGTTGGAGTGTTATGGCCTAAAATTGAAACATAAATAAGTTGGCTTGAAATTGAATCAGAAATAAGAGTTACTTTTCAAGAAAGCGCATACAAATCCCTGTTTATGACGTATTCATTCTCTTTTTTATCTTTGTTATGATGTGGTGGGAATAGGTAGTTAAGTATTAAACCTAAAGAGTTGATGTCCATAGAACACCTATTTTTTCTGTGGGTTTTAGATCATATTTCAATAGAAGGTGGGTAAATTTGTAAATACTTTGAAATGGGACAAAAATAATTAACTTGCTTCTTCATAGTCTACCTGTTCCGTATTCCATAACTTATCCACCTTTTATAGAAGCATTATTTTGCAATGTTATTCAAATAGAAACCACACTAATAGGGCTCTCGTGGATTTGGGGGAATATACTTTTGTTTTCACTTCAGTATTCACCATTTATCAATCTTCTTATGCTCCATGATTTGCAGCATACGCAGAAACTGAGTTGGAAGATTTTAAAGGGTTGCTTGATTTATTATCTAAGAAAGGCTCTGATCCAAAGGTATGTGTCCAAGCTTCCAAATAAATTTTGTACGGCAACAATCTGCCGAAAGATTGTTATGAACTTTTTAGTGTTTACAGAATGGGGGCAGAGACAGCAATAGAAGATCTTCTTCAAATACCAAGAACGTAGAGCAGCATTCTGAAAATCTAGAAAGTGAACTAAGGAGACTAAAGCAGGAATACAACAAGTTTGCTTTGGAAAAGGACGCCGAGGTATCTGCACTCGTGGCAGAGAAAAAATTTGTGTGGAACCAATACAAAATTCTGGAAACTGACTGTGCAAATAAACTAAAGAGAAAGAGTTCTGAAGTCGAACAAGCAGAGGAGAAGGTTCAAAAACTTATTGCCGGTATGGAGGAATTACAGTCATCAAATGATGAAAAGGACGACAGAATTGCCAGATTAACAAGCCAATTGACTAAGATGAGCGAAGAGTCAAACAAATTCAAGGATGAAACTAGTAGACTCTCACAGGAATTGGATTTGCTTTTCACAAACAGGAAAGGACCTTCATCAAATGATGAAAAGGACGACAGAATTGCCAGATTAACAAGCCAATTGACTAAGATGAGGGAAGAGTCAAACAAATTCAAGGATGAAACTAGTAGACTCTCACAGGAATTGGATTTGCTGAGAAAGTCCAGAAGTTGCGCTGTTACACCTGTTTTAGGGCCTTCCAACAGAAGCATTATATCGAGGAAAGAATCATCTGCTGGGCAAGCTCAGAATTCTATAGAGGACATTGAAAAGGTACCGAAAATTATCGTGTCGCTTTTTCTTTTTCTTTTTTTCCCTTAAAAGTTTATCTTACTACTGTGTTGGCGTCTCTAATTAGTCTTCTTGATTTATTTGACTTGAAGAATTCTATATAATTGTTTGTAAATTGACGCATTAATGGATCAAACTTGATGTTTTACATGATATTTTCTTGATGCCCAGGGTGGTAGAAGAAGATCAAAGAGAAAGGGGGGTGATGTTGCATCCATGTCAGTGACAGAGAGTCCAAAGTTGTTATCAACCTCATTTAAAGTTCCCAAATTGAAGAACCCATCTCCTCGTGTGCGATTATGGCCCAACGCTAGCGTTTTCTAAATAGCAGAGTCAGGAATGTATATATTTAATTTTTAATTTTTAATCTTTTTTTTATTTGTTAGATTGTATTATTATCTTTCTTGATTCTGGATTTCTCATCTGGACATCTGCAAGACAGCATAGTAATTCTTTTGTTTCCTCTGAAACTGTAACGTGTCTTTAGAACTCTACCCTGTAATTTTTCCTCTCTCTAAGAATAACCGTATCCTCTCGTTTATGGTCATGGTATTTTTTGTAAGCAAATGTTCCATTCCTTTTATTTATTTGTTCAATTTTTCCATCGGCCGATCCAATTTTAGATTTTTTTTTCTTTTTTTGAAAAAGTTTACTCATAAGTTTTGAGAGGACCCTTTCTTTTTTTTTTCCTTTTTTTTTTTTTTTTGCTTGAAAGTTATGTTTTAATTACAGTTCCCACAGAGACTCGTGGAACGTGGGATATTGGAAATAACTAATGTTTTTCCTTACTAGCAAAACAGAAAAACTAATGTTATTCCCTAAGAATTAATATTTTAATCTTAATGTTATTTCTCTACTATATTTTGAACTAAATAAAAAATATATAAAAAAACTAGAAAAGGACCATATAAACCTTTTTTTTTTTTTTTTTTTTTTATAAAAGTTATCAGAACATGTGAGCTTGATATTTGTTCTAACATCAACACAGAAATTTAAAGCACTAGTCAAAATAAAAGTTAAATAGGAAACAACTTAGGTCGACAAGTTAACTAGTAAATCATATTTAACATCTCATTGAGTGCCGGTGAGTCTGAACTAGTAAATCATAATTAACATCTCTCACTAAAAAAAGTAGTTACTACTCATCCGATCAAACAGAAACTGAAAATAGTAGCTTTATCTGTTAATCTGTAATAAACTATTTAAACGCAACTAACACAAATTTGACACTTTTATATCATCATGCCAAAAAAAAACTAGTAGGAGCCCCAAATAGGAGGCCACCACTTGGACTGAAAATAAGACTGGTAAGAGATCAACACCGCAAGCACAACCAACAGAACCACCACGCCCCACGGAGTCCCGCCGCCTTCCGAGACCGCTTCATGCTTTGTCCTCGGCCTCACCACCAAAACGGTGCCGTATTTGGTCACCGAGTGGGCCACAAAGATCAGAACCAACGGCAACAACAGGAGGAAAAGCCTGAACCCGATAACCGTCTTCTGCATCTGAGACTTGTAGTTTGCGTAAGAGGAAACGGACAGCAAAACGACAACGATTCCGACGATTGCCAACAGAGGAAGAGGTGGTGCAGTTAACGAGGCAAGAGTTCGTTCTGTCCAACCAAGCTTCCATGACGAACCGCTTCTATCTTCCCTTATTAACCAACCCATTTTTTTCTCTCTTGTTGCCTTCTTTACGCTTGTTATGGTTTTCTTTTTGTTCAAAGTGGAGGGTATGATATATATATAGGGAAGGTAATGATGTGATGCTGTGATTGATATATTAATGGATTTGTCATTTGTGTGTTGCTTTGGCATAAATTCTGGGTCTAGAGATTCAGAAAATCTCTATTCACAACCGACCTTTAACTTTGCACCAATTTGGTTGGGATTGATGCCGAAATAGTGAATATATTAGGCCCGTTTAGTTCGCTGATTTGAATTTTTAATTCGAGTTGATATGTGATTTTATGTGAGAGCTTTTTACTGTAGTAAAAAAGTTAGATGTGATTGTTTGTGAGAGTTTTTTACTGTAATAAAACTCGAATTGTAAACTCAAATAAGCGAAATGAACGAGATATATCCTAAACTTTCTATGAGGAATTCTTTTTTGGAGAAGGTTTTTATGAAGAATTGCCATATGCCGTTGTAAAAGACGCACAAAGAGGAGGGAATATATTCCTAGCTACTTCTATTTCTTGCAACTATTCATATGGGAGCTTTTCTCTAAAGTTTTTGATACGGTGTTATCCACTAAGGGCCCTTTAGATTTGCTGAAAAAAAAAAACTGCATTTGATTTATTTAGTTTAAAAGCCTCTTTTAAATCTGTTTAGATTGACAATTTTAAAGTATTTTTAATTTTTTAAATTTTTTTATAACAACTGCATTTGATTTATTTAGTTTAAAAGCCTCTTTTAAATCTGTTAAGATTGACAATTTTAAAGTATTTTTAATTTTTTAAATTTTTTTATAACAAGTCATTTCATTAGTGTTTATGATAAAAGTACTTATGAAAAGTTTTTTATTTACTTTTTTAATATTTTATTTGTGAATAATAAATTAAATATCTCATCTATATCTTTTTTTTATTAAAATATGTTCAAAAATTCTTCTTAGATATAAAAGTATTTTTTCAGTCGCTATCTAAACACTAATAAAAAAGTCTTAACTTTATTTTCTTCTACTACTTAAAAGTACAAGTATAAACTATTCCAAATGAGTCCTAATTCTTACTTATTCTTTTAGAAAATTATCCCCCTCTTTCTTTTAGGTAAAAAAATCATTCCACCATTTTGAAGGATATGATTAATGAACGTAGAGAAGAGAATGTTAGGTCATTTGTTAGAGAGGAAATTGAGAAGGAAGTAATTAGAATATTTATAGAACCGATTACTTTTAAATTCTTTTAATTTTACAAAGAAAATGGAATAGAAAATGTTGCATAAAATTAAGAATACAAAATTTTCTCAAAAAAATTAAGAATATAAAATAACTACTATAGGAGACATTAGTAGAACAAAAAAAATAGATGCATATTTTCTATTTTACGAAACAAAAACTACGGGCCTGTTTGTTTCTGTTTCCATTTCCATTTTCCACGCATTTCGAAGCAAAAAAATTGAAAACGGGTGTTAAAAACGCGTTTGGTGCAAGTTTTTTTAAAAAACAAAAACAAAAACGTTTGTCTTTTTGTGGAAATCAGAAAACGAAAAAAAAAACATGTTTTCTCCCTTTTCGTTTTCTTCCTTTTCTCTCCTATTTTCTGCTTCAGCCTCCCCCGTCTGAGTTTTTTTTTTCTGCTTCAGCCATTCTTCAGCCCAGATACTTCAGCCTTCTTGCCAGCTGACCTCCTCCGTTCTTCTCGCTGGATTCGTTTTCTCTGGTTTCCTTCTCGCCTGAGATTTCTCCGTTGGGGCTCCTCCGGTTTCCTCCGTTCTTGCCATTCTCGTCTCGGCCTCTTCTCACCCAGGTATGGCTCTTCTCACCGAGTTATTCGTTTTCTGATTTGGTTTCCTTCCCGCCTGAGTTGGTTGAGTCTTTTTAGCTGATTTTAGAGTTTTTTTACCTGATTTGGTTGTTTTTTTATGGGTTTTTTTATAATGATTTTGACATGATATACTCAATGAAATCGGTTGATTTCCGTTTGATTTGGTTAGTATTTTGTCTAATTTTTTGATTATCTGAGTTGCTAAATTTTTTTCCCTTTTTTTTCCAATGGGAGGTTTAGGGGGGCTGATAATCAGCCCCTAATGGGGGCTGATAATCAGCCCCAATGGGAGCTGAATCAGCCCTTAGGAGGCCCCCGTTGGGGCTGAATCAGCCCCTGGGGGCCTCCCATTGGGGCTGACCTGGGAGGCCCCAATGGGGGCTGATAATCAGCCCCCATGAGCCCCAATGGGGGCTGATTATCAGCCTCCATGGGTGCTGATAATCAGCCCCTATCAGCCCTAATGGGGGCTGATTATCAGTCCTGATAAGGCTAATAATCAGCCCCCATCAGCCCCAATGGGGGCTGATTTCAGCCCTGATGGGGGTTGACAATTAGCCCCCATGAGCCCCAATGGGGGTTGATTTCAACCCCCATCAGGGGCTGATTTCAGCCCCCATCAGCCCCAATGGGGATGAAAATCAGCCCCCATCAGCCCCTATCAGCCCCGATGGGGGCTGATTAATCAGCCCCCATCAGCCCCATTGAGGGCTAAACATCAGTCCCCATCAGCCCCAATGGGGGCTGATTTCAGCCCTGATGGGGGTTGACAATTAGCCCCCATGAGCCCCAATGGGGGTTGATTTCAACCCCCATCAGGGGCTGATTTCAGCCCCCATCAGCCCCAATGGGGATGAAAATCAGCCCCCATCAGCCCCTATCAGCCCCGATGGGGGCTGATTAATCAGCCCCCATCAGCCCCATTGAGGGCTAAACATCAGTCCCCATCAGCCCCAATGGGGGCTGATTATCAGCCCTGATGGGGGCCTGATTTATCATCCCCCATCAGCCCCATTGGGGGCTGATTATCAGCCCCCATCAGACCCTGCGTGTGTGTGTGTATATACTTTACAAATTGACATTTATTTTAATGATGAAAGTGTTATTTTAGATGTGTGATAAGGACGATAATACGAAATGGCCGGCCGCAATTGAGGATTTTTATGTATAACTGATATTCGAATAGTAAAAAATTGGGATGCAAACATCCACTCTGGACAAAAAAATGTGAATGAAAATTGCTAATGAAATAGCACTTAAGTTTGGTAAGCATTTCACGTCAGACCAGCTTAAAGCAAAGTGGAATAGGCTTTGACGTAGCACGAGGGAGTTTAAGGCATTAATTGAAACAACAGGGTTTGGTTGGGATTCTGAGGCTAACACTGTCACAGCTGAAAAAGAAGTATGGGATTCATATGTGTCGGTAAGTTTTGAGCATTAACATCTTATGTTATATTAAGGAGTTGAATTGGTGTTTGGATTGCACATGAGTATTTACTCTTGTTTTCTTTATAATGTCAAAAACATCCTGAGGGTAAGAAATTCAAGAAAGGGGATTTGCAGAACTTTGCCAAACTTTCACAGATTTTTTTTGGGACTATTGCTACTGGACATGGGTCAATGAATGCACATACTGTCATTAATGTTTTGAATGCGGCGAAAAGGGCGGCCACACAACCGGAAGAGGTGGAGAAGGGTACAGGGGACTCGGATGAAGTCCGGGGTGCAGAAGACAATAGAAACAGATGGTCTCAGGGTTCTACTACTCGATCCAAGAAGAAGGGCAAGAACAACAGTGCAGTTGACGCGGCTATAGAGGCTTTGGCAAAGAGTGCTACCCTACGTAGTGAGACATATGTTCAAAAGGTTGATTTGTTTCAGCAATATTTAGCTGATAGGCAAGCCCGTACTATGGCATTAGCCTAGGCTCAGAAAGAGGATCCAACTACATGTATTGAAACCTGTATGTATTTGCTGAATGAGTATGGGGAGTATTTAGACAACAATGTGTATACTAAGGCAGCGCACCAGTTAGCGGTTGACATTTCCCTTAGGAGGATGTTTGTGCAAATGCCCGCTTGTCGTCATCTTTCATGGATTCAAAGCATGTAGTTTAAATGATTATTGTGTTGTTTTCTTTATTTGTTTCCTCTCGGACGTATGTTTTTTTTTTTAAGTATTGTTGAGCATGTACAACAGATTTTCCTCTTGGACTTGTGTTTGTTAGACTTTGTTATTTGTTTTTAGTCGGATTGAATTACATTGGAGTTCTTCGTTTGATTAGTTAATGTTATATGGATGTTTGATTAGTTCCAGTCTTGGTTCATTTTTTAGGTTAATATGGATTCAGATAGTGAGAATGATGCCAGAGCTGTTGACTTTCTCCAGTCATCAGATGATGATGAACAACCACAACATTATATCCAATTATTGATGTCGATTGGAAACAGACGAACTAGGCAACCTCGTCGTAATTCTGCGTTAACAGGACGAGAATATGTTTTAGAACAATTACATGGACATCCCGAAAATTTGTTTGAAATGTGTCGTATGCATCGAAACACGTTCGAAGCAATTGTTCAGTTAATTTGAGGTCGCAATCTACTACCTTCTTCAAGTATTTCAGCAGAAGAATCTCTAATGATGTTCTTAAGAACGGTTGCTCACTCAGATCGCAATAGAGAGATACAAGATAGATTTTGTCATTCTGGAGAGACAGTACACCGGCATTTTGATAATATGCTTACCGCATTGTCTGCGTTAGATGGTAATGTTATAAAACTACCAAATATGAACATTGTCCCCCCAGAGATTCAACACAACCCTAAGTACTGGCCATGATTTAAGGTACAATCTGACTATGCTCATAAACTACTAATATGACAAATAATTTTAAATTAATCATAACTCATATATTACGTTGTGGATTCCCGTTACAGCAACACGCAGGGCTTTTTGGCACCATTTCGCGGTCAAAGGTACCATATTCAACAGTTTAGAAATGGTGGTCAACCAACAGGACCACAAGAGTTATTCAATTATTATCACTCTTCACTGCGTAATTGCATAGAGAGGTGCTTTGGGGTCTTGAAAGTAATGTTTAAAATTCTTAGGCATATGACCAATTATTGGATGCCAAGACAAAATGTTATACCAATAACTTGTTGTGTGATCCACAATTTAATTAAGATGCACACGCGAGATGATCCTCTATTTAGACAATATGAGGTCGATTTGCCCGTAGAAGATATTGAGGGAGAACAAGAAGGGCAACAGGAACAACAACATAGTATGGATGCACAAGAAGCAGAAACATATGAAATGGGTGGTCGGCAACAACGTAATTACATGGTTAATTTTAGGGATCATCTAGCTAATCAAATGTGGGATTCGTATAGGCGACAATAATTTAAGCTAATATTGTAATTTTCATATTTTATTAATTATTAGTGTTTTTATTTGTGATTCAATTATTATTTATTTAATATATTAAATATTATTACATGTATTCAAAAATGAAACCACCAAACGCAGTTTCAGTTTTTTTAAAACTGAAATCAATCTATAAATAAAACTACCAAACGCATTTTCAGAAATAATTCAAAAATGAAAATGAAAACGTTTTCATTTTCATTTTCGTACAAAAAATAAAAACGCTTTAAAATCAATTCTAAACGCACCCTATACCTTTTCATATTGAAAATATTATTCCTGACATGGATTTTTTTTTTCTACCCTCTTCTTATTTTCCGTCCCACTTGTTAAGAGAGGGTAACGTGAACTTGAAAGCATTGCTTAATTAGACGTTCGTTAGTTGTACTTGAACTAGAATTTATTGGATCACTTTTACTTGAACTAGAATTTATTAGATCACTTTTTCTTTTTCTTTTGATATTTTTTAATACGTTAATATACTAATAAGTTAAATTTTTTATTTATTAAATTTATATAAAATCACATAAAAATTAAAAAATGTATAAATTTAACTGTTAAAAAAATTTAATATATTTGTACTAACTAATCTCTTTTTTTTTTTTTTTTTTGGTCAATAGAAACATCTTGTCTTTTTTTTTTTTTTTTAATGAAACCCTTGAAAGAAATCTCTGATGAAACGATTTGTACGCTTTTGGAAACGCTGTTCCTCAAAATGCAGGACACGCGGCGGTCATGCATTAGAGATCGTAAATCTCGCAAGCCCGGCTCAATCTGCACCTGGAGAAACCATTCTCAGTTAATGGGCCAAAAATAGGGCCTAGAAATGTCCAATTGGGCAAACTGGTGTCCAACTAATCTGCTATCTGGACCAATAAGCAGACATTCTTCTCAGAATCTCAAGCCAAGTTTGAACAACAATGGCTTGCTGGTTCTAGGGTTCCTTGAAAACAACAGTCTCGTCGACGGCAACGTCTCAATTTCCTTTTGAAACGAAGGGCTTTTTCCTAAATTGAAAATCAAAACGTTGACATTATCAAAAAAATAATAGTAATAATAAAAAAAAAAAAAGAAAACAAATTTGTAACCAAAGAAAACGTATTTTTCTTCAAAGCTCACCTTTTTTTTTTTTGAAATATGCCGTCGGAGGACGCGAAGCCGGTGAAGATGAAATCGGAGGTGAAAGACGAAGGAGAGGACGACGAGAAGAGCCTGAGCTCCATTATGGAGAACCGCAAGAAGAAACTGGCGAATAGCAATGCGAAAGTGAAGGAAGAAGAGCCCCTAGATTATGATTCCGATAAGCCGACTAGGGCTCGCTCAAAGGAAACCAAAGTTAAAAAGGAAGAGAATGCCGATGACGATGACGACGATGAAAAGCCCCTTGCCAAGAGGAGCTCCTGCGTTAAGCCCGATAAGGTTTTCTCTCACTTTACTTTGCATTTGAGATTATGTACAGCCTAAAGGAATGTTGCGTTTTTGGGGGAATGTAGGAGAATTTTGAATGATTGGTGTGGTTTTTGTGTGTTGATTTGGGATGAAGGATTTGAAGAAGAAGAAGAGAAAGGAGGAAGAGAAGAAGAGTTCTGCTGCGGAGCAGAAGAAGAGGGAGAGGAAAGTTTATAATTTGCCTGGTCAGAAGCGAGACACTCCTGAGGAGGTATTATTGTCTTCTTTCATTTTTTCTTGGTCAGATTATTGATGTTATAACATTTCTTTTTTTTTTTTTTTTTTTTATTGTAATTGTGTTGAAACTTTCTGGATTTTTCAGAGGGACCCGTTGAGGATTTTCTACGAGACGTTGTACAAACAAATTCCACATAGCGAAATGGCACAATTCTGGTGAGTGTTTAGTTATTTTCTCCTTGTTGTGAGTTGAATTTGGTTGTTTGAGGAACTTGTGGAATAATTGGTAAAACTAAATTTTATATGCCTTTTATTTCCTTTAGCTAATGCTTAATGGTTTATGCCTACTAGATTGAGAATTAAGGTTTGGATCATGTACATTCACACACACACACACCTATGGCTACTTCTGTAGAGAAACAAGCATTTAATAACCATTGTGGTTGAATTCTTAGGTCGTAAGTTTTAAAGAATGAATTTAAGGCCAAAGCTTTAAAAGAGGACCATATGAAACTCCACTTGGCACGAAGAGAGACTGCCTTATCTTTATGCTAATAATAATTACGTTACAGGGATAAAGGACAAAGAAAAGGAAGACTTATATTTCGACAATAGACACTTCCTGTGTTTAGTTTCTGAATCTATCACTTGCATTGTGGATGATTCACATGTTATCAGATCCGTTTAGTCATATTAAGATATAAAAAGATTTACTTGATTTATGCCCCTTGATCAATGCCTCAACAGAACAATTAAGAAACACACACGAACAAAAACAGTTCACACCATTAGGAAATTGGAAGAAACTGAAAAGCTTCTTTACTGCTCCAAGTTACAGATTCTATCTTGCTCTCTGATGTACACAAGAAGAATTCTCAAATCTGTTTTCCTTCAGTTTTTTCTTCTCTCGGGCTATACCAGAAAACTCTTGGTACATGAATCTCTCTTTACAATTATCTCTACAGATTACAAGTTGTTCCTCTGCTATTAGTCTCGTATGCAATTGACTAGTCATACACCACTAAACAGCCTAACCCTTATTTAATCCAAACCAATTAATGGTCCACGTCAGCAACTTCACTTTGACTTCAATCAACGACCATCACTGTTTCTGGAGATCAGCATGCTTTCGCTTTATTTTAGCCTGCGATTTATGTTTAGCAAAGTGCATTCCTGGCAATACTTCAATTGGTTTGAGTTACATGTTTAGCGCTAAAGCTAGATGTGGTTACTTTGTGTATCAGTCTTCTTGATCTAGTGACAAACCTTCCAGTGATCATATTGGTACTCATCAGTGGTAATAATGATAAAGTTCAAGCTGTTTCTATTGTCTTTCCTTTGAGACTCTGTTCAATTCAATTGCAGGATGATGGAGTCTGGCTTGCTTCCAGAAGCGGAGGCTAAGAAAGTTTTTGAGAAGAAGCAGAAGCGAAGTCAGCAGCAAAAGTTCAGTTCCCCGACAACAGCTGTTAAGAGCACTGCATCTGCTGGAGTCAAGAGGAAGACTCCATCTTCCCGATTATGTTCCAATAAAAAGAAGCCGACAGAGTCCAAAGATCCTCCAAAGCAGAGTAAGAAGCGGAAGATTGGAGATGCAAACTCTGATGGTGATTCTGATGACGACTTCATCATCAACCATGGCAAGAAGAAAAAGCGAGTTACTTAATTGTTTTTCTCTTGAAGCTACACGAGAATTCAAATTTTACCATCACATGGTAGAATTTGAAATCATGATAACTGATTGAATTGTTTCCATCTCAAATCTTTTAGTTGATCTAACTCGATATTTTCACTAGGCTTCCCCTCCTGTAATTGAGTTGTAGTGACAATTAACATATTTTTACCATCACATGGTAGCATTTGAAATCATGAAGTGATTGACTTGTTGCCAGCTCAAATCTTTAGTTGACTGCTATTTTCTACTAGGTTCTCCCACCTGCAATTGAGTTGTAGTTACTATTAGCAAAAACAATACCTTATTTTAATGAAGCCTGATCATTTTATATCCTGCAAAAAGTTTTGAAATTCTATATCTAAGGATATTATGTGAAGTATTTATTGGTAGACATGAATGCTCAAAGTGAACAATAGTTTGGGTTACGTTTTTTTTGGTCTTTTGGCTACCACCACCGTCGGTCTATGTGTTCATAATTTAGGGCTTGTTTGGTTCAACAATTTAAACTGTGAAGATTTGAATCTTTTTAGTTAGTACTATAGAATGTGAAGATTTGAATCTTTTTAGTTAGTACTATAGAATTTGAATTGTGGTGATTCAAATTGTGATATAACATGTTGTTTAGATATGTAAATAAATTATAATTTGTATTGGGAATAAAATCCGAATTGTGTTTGGATAAAGTGTTGAAAATTGTCATTAGAGTTTTATAACCAATCTTATAAAACTTCATTATAAATGATATTAAAAAAATATGTAATATGGGTGGGGATTTCTTTCTCTCTTCATTATGAACACATTAAAAAAAAATCATCTCAATTGAAATTAAAATGAAAAAGTTATGATATTTTTAAGAATGAGATTGAAGAGAGAAAAAATAGAATGTAGAACTATTGGACTGTTGACAACAATTCAGATTGTTAGAATTTAAGAAGGGAGTTAAATTCTAAAATCAACAATTTGAGTTGTCCTTGACAATTGTTAATGATTTGAATCGTCATTGAATTTTTCTCTTTCAAACACTAATTTAAATTCTAAATAACAATTTGAGTTGTTGTTAAAATAAACAAGGCTTAGTCTGTCTCTTTTTCTTTTCTTTTCTTTCTGCTTGCACTATATCTCTATCTATATATAAATAATGTTTATTTTATTATTTATTTATATCCATCTACTTGAGTCATCCTCTAAGCCAAATTTAGATCGCTTTTTTTTTTTTTTTTTTTTTTGCTAGAAATTTCTAACTCATTAGTTAATCCTTCTATAAGTGGTATACACCAATCCAATCCCTTTTAGACTATTGACAGAGTGAAAGTCTACTTGGAAAATCTCAAATCAGGCAATGTGATATCGCTCAGACTCAAATGCCATGGGATTAAGGAAAAGGCTGTAGGGAAGAAAAGAAATGAGAATGGAGAGTATTATAATTTTGTTAAGTAGCATATGGGTCTCGGTCTTTTCATTTTATTTTTTAGAGTTTAAAATTACAATTTGAAGTTTGAACTTCAGGTAACTGATTAATAGATAACTAATCCCTAATGTCCGTACAATGAAAATCTGTTTTTCTTTTTTCAGATAAGATGATTCTTTTTATAAAAAAAAAAAAAAAAGGAGTAAGTCAAGTTTCTGTTCCCCTAACACCGCGATATTAATGTGTGGATCGAATTTTGAAAATTAATTTTGTCCATTTGAAACGACAGGTACTAAAATTCGTAAGTTCCACTTACTTTCATAGTTTCATGTAAGGAACTGAATTCAGTTACAGATGAGAAACAGCCTTATCACTTGGACGTGTCATATTCCAGATTTTTTATTAATTCAGATTTATTGGTCTATCACTTCAGTGTAATATTCTAATTATTATTTAAGCATATTAGCGAACTTTAGATGAGTTTTTTATTTATTTAAATATGTAGATGAGTTTTTTTTATTTAAATATTTTTTTTAAGAATATAAAATATCATTATTCTAATTCTTTCCTTTTGATTTTATAATTGGTTGAACAATGTCAAGGTAAAGTCAACATTGTTCAAACTTAAGGTTAAGCCAAAATAATAATTATTATTATTATCACAAAAAATACTGTTGTTTTTTTTTTTTTTTTTTTTTACAATCCAGGTCTATTTTTAAAAAACAAAAATTATTCTTAGAAATCAATGTATTTGAGCAACGTTTTCTTTCAGCAATATATAAAAACAAAAAACTCACCAAACAACATTTGTTGTCCCAGGTATTTGTTAGATATAATACAAAGAAGAACAATATATATGAAAATACTAGAGGAACAATATATTAAAATTGTTATAACACAAATTCAACCTTCTATCGAACTTGAAAAACGAACTGACAATGATATCGAGACACGTGAATCAGGTTTTTTTTAAAACAGATTCATCTCCTCCGGCTAGTGCTTGAGGTTACGTTAGATGTTTGTTTCTCAGAATACAACGACAACGACGGTAGCACGAAGCACTACCAAAACCGTCCAGCGAACTAGAACTTGGACCTTTCCTCTATCACAAAACAGAACTACAAAAACTACAGGAAAAATTGAAAGAAAACTGAGATAAAGTAGAGATGAGAGTTCTGTTTTTTGGTATTTGTTAGATATAATACAAAGAAGAACAATATATATGAAAATACTAGAGGAACAATATATTAAAATTATTATAACACAAATTCAACCTTCTATCTAACTTGAAAAACGAACTGACAATGATATCGAGACACGTGAATCAGGTTTTTTTTAAAACATATTCATCTCCTCCGGCTAGTGCTTGAGGTTACGTTAGATGTTTGTTTCTCATAATACAACGACAACGACGGTAGCACGAAGCACTACCAAAACCGTCCAGCGAACTAGAACTTGGACCTTTCCTCTATCACAAAACAGAACTACAAAAACTACAGGAAAAATTGAAAGAAAACTGAGATAAAGTAGAGATGAGAGTTCTGTTTTTTTGTGTGTGTCATGTCCATGTGGAGAATAACCTTTATATAGGCTCTAAAATTCGGGTGTTACACCATGCCATAATGGTATTTAAACACACATTAATCGACATTATAATGGAGAAAAACTGTTAACTTTTTCAAGATGAATCCGACCACATTTCCTCACCTATATTCGGTTTTTGATGATGAAAAACTGAAGCCATTAAGCTCATTAACCGTGGAAAATTCAATTTTCACCATTAAGCCTTATTATACACCATTAAGCTCATTAACCCCATGCCAAATTGTTTGGCAGAATGTGGAAGGTCTTGTTGGGAATAGTGTCCTAGAAGCATGAGATGTAATAGGATATTTATTATTTAATTAATAAAAGAGTTTATTCATCATTTTATGTGCATATATTTATGAATATTTTATTAATATCAAATAAAAATTCTGTGATTATTTATGTAACCTTAAACATTGTATATAAGTGTTATATACGAGAGGATAATGTTTAAGGATAATAATAAAAAACGTTGTTCATAATGAATTTAATTAAAGTTCA